CCTATCCCTTTCCAGCTGATAACATTGGTTTCTCACATGACCTTCCTTTTGGCAATATGAACAGGACAAGTTCTTCCTGGCTTTATATACCTCCCGGTTCTGTCGTGGTTGAAACCGGTCACCATTGCATGGTTTATCCAGGGTTCGAGAGGTTACTGTTCTTTACTTAACTGGTCGAACCTTCTGGCCCAATTTTACTGCTTCCTCTCTGGATGTTCTATCACGGATCAGCTGGCTGGAGATCTCGTAGCCATCGGCCAGTGCAGCGGTTTCCATCACATCAGGTGTTGGACGGTCGATCAGGAACTTCCGCAAATCCCCAGATATAGAATTATAGAAGTCCTCTTGTAGTTTTAATTGGGTTAGGCTGCTTACGGTGTTGCTTTGTGAGGCTCTTTGCCACCTCTCAAAATCTACCTTCTTCTGCCTGGCGAAGTTCACCCAAGTTTGCCCTGGTAACCTTTGCAGAGTACGGAAGGCTTGCTGGTAGCTAAAAGGGAGTAGATCATAGGTCTCCAGTATGACCTTCTTGACTGAGTCATATTGTATGTACTTTTCGTAAGGCAAAGCCGCTGTACATTCTCGAGCTTTACCAGTCAGCGTCGTATGCAACAAGACAGCCCAGAATTTTCGGGGCCACTGCATAGCTCGAGCTTGATTTTCGAAAGTATCGAAGTACGTGTCCAGATCAGACTCGCAAAACTTGGGCACCAGAGATGCTGCTTTATGAATGTCGAAAGTATTTCTGGGGGTCTCGGGTCTCAACTCCTTCCCTTTGCCACTGACGTTCGTAGAGAATGGTGTCCCTCTCAAACTCTCTTGCATTCAGCTTCCTTTAGGCTTCTTTTTGGGCCGTCTGTAAAATAATAAGGAGCTCCATCCTTTCGAACTGGTTTTGTGATATGGGCCCAGTCGGTAGTGGAGGAGTTGGGGGATACAAGGTTTCCTGTCTTTCCTTGGGTCGAGCACTTGCCCCGGGTGCTTCTAGTGGACCAGGGTCGGAAACTGGGTGATTAGACACCCCAATTTCAGGCACCTCTCCCAGGGATGTCAGCTCACCACCAGCTCCCTTTGATTCTGGCTCAGCCACATCACCAGAGGGTAGGGAAGTTGGAAGGCCACCAAGATTAAGTCCTGCTGCTGCAAGCGGTTGGTCCAAGTCTTCAAACTGAGATATTAGACTTGCCTCATCAGTATCGTCAATGTCATCCACCTCTCCTTGTTCCAGAAACAGCATGTTTCTCAAAATAGATTTTGTGGCTCTGAGTGAGTCAGGATATATCAGTATATGTACATGCACAGGCGTTGCTTAAAAACTTGAACACCACACTGATAGAGCTTTTACATAGGGTTCACTCTGCAATAAGCCCTCTTACAACACAGTGGTTTGCACACTTGGCTTCACTTTCTCTAAGAGCTTCTCAACCGCCTTCTCCAACCGAGATAAGTCTTAGCAATGAGTTTCCGAGAATTCCTGGTATTTTCAAGGGAGGCGAATGGTGTTTAGAGGTGGATACTTCCCTAGACCCTTGCTGGTCCAGAGGAAGGTATGAACTGAACAAAGTGAGGCTTTACCAGCGAACTTTGACTCGGTCGGAGAAGGGGTTGAGCAGCTCAAAACACCTACTGTTGCTTGGCCAGGTCGCACCAGCAGTTTGTACTAATTAAATAACCTACCTACGTACAAAGCTAAGTAATACGACCAGATAATATTATAAAGTCCAGTAAATCCATTTTAGCTACTAATGGAATTACTCCTGAATATAATATTAAGTGAAACAGCAAAAATAACATTGCAATAATAAATAGAAACTGTCTACTTAAAATCGACAAAAGGGTGTAACAGTTGACAGGCGCATTTCATGAGCTCACTTTACTCTCCTATTTGGAATGACTCCTTTTGGAGATTTTTAAACACTTCTTTTTGAAGGTACGTGAGTTGTGAATAGCTGTCCAAGTCTACGATAAAGTGTTCCACAAAATCTTGGACCTGTCTTGGTGTGAAGTTGTATAGGATAACGAAAGTGTATGTGACAGTTCCATTAGAGTCGGGGATGGTGTTCTTCGGTGATCACGGTGTTTTTAAAGAACATAAAGGCACAACACCTGAGTAATTCACAAATAACTCGCACACAGACTGAACTTATGACGATGTTTCGGTCTAAATTGGACTATTAACTAGCCAAACAGAAGCGGGAAGTTGATAACCAGGTCTTCACTAGATGGTGGACCGTCACAGGATCCTGAAGGAGTGTTACAGTTTGTACAAGTGATGTACACTTTACAACCAGGTGACAGGAGACGGTGACTTCCCTTCAGCACAAGACGACGTAGGGAACACTCTCACACTGACGTAGGGAAGACTTTTACACAGACGTAGGGAAGACTCTCACATTGACGTAGGGAAAACTCTCACATTGACGTAGGGAAGACTTTTACACAGACGTAGGGAAGACTCTCACATTGACGTAGGGAAAACTCTCACATTGACGTAGGGAAGACTCTCACACTGACGTAGGGAACACTCTCACACTGACGTAGGGAAGGCTTTTACACAGACGTAGGGAAGACTCTCACATTGACGTAGGGAAAACTCTCACATTGACGTAGGGAAGACTCTCACACTGACGTAGGGAAGACTCACACACTGACGTAGGGAAGACTTTTACACAGACGTAGGGAAGATTCTCACATTGACGTAGGGAAAACTCTCACATTGACGTAGGGAAAACTCTCACATTGACGTAGGGAAGACTCTCACACTGACGTAAGGAACACTCTCACACTGACGTAGGGAAGACTTTTACACAGACGTA